AGACAGGAGTCTCCAACACAGATCATCTAGCACTACTCTGGTCTGGTATCTTATTAAAAATTATACAAATGCTCCAAAACCATTAATAGGTATTAAAATAAAAAGACAGGCTCAGAGGGCTCAAAATAAAATGCAAAGGGGAAAGGGCTGAGCGACTTATTTTCCCCCTTGAATGTAGTGTCTCAAACATGATGGTGGGGATATTTGAATCTTTACGTGCTGAGTTCCTTTTAGCTTCTTGTAACCTGAGTTCACAGGAGGTGCTCAGAAGCAGAGGCTTCTTCAGGAAATGCTGGGTAGGCAGTATTGTTTTACTTCTGCATCTGAATGAAAATCTGCCAGAAATTTGCAAGCACTGGAATGTTCTCTTTATTTTCATAGCACAGTCATTATTTTCCTCACAATGTGGTTCCAAAAGCCTTTAGGGTTTTTCAGCCCCTCCAGTCACTGGCTAATGGCTGGCACAATTTAGACTGATATTTACTTATTCTCCATGGTGTCTCTCAATAAACTTCCAATTAGAGGAGGCTGTTGCTATGACCTCATCTCAACCATCCTCAGCCACAGTTCGAAAATGACAGCAAAGAAACAGTAAAAGTTTGATATGCACTTCTCATTAGTCCCTATTGCTACAGCAGTGAGTACCCCTGCAGTGAGGAATGGAGCTGGAAGCATCTTGGAGGGATTAGCTGTGGGACATGGTAGCTTTGGAGGCTTTGTGAAGAGGATAGAGATTATACTCCGTAGCTATAGCCATACCACCACTTCCCATGGAATTTAAAAGAAATATGTGGCTTAAACTCACAGAATCACAGAATGGTTGAGGTTGGAAAGGGCCTCTGAAGGCCATCTGGACCAGCCCCCTGCTCAAGCAGGGACACATAGAGCAGGTTGCCCAGGACCATGCTCAGATGTATTTTGAAGATCTCCAAGGAGGGGGACTCCACAACCTCTCTGGGCAACCCATACCATTGTTCCCTCATCCACACAGTAATGAAGTTTTAGACTTCAGCAACAATATCCCATGTTGAAAAGCATAAGATTTGCTCTCCCTGGGGACTGAATGACTAGTCTACACTTTAATTTTAGTGAGCTTTGCAGGAGCAAGTGTCACACAAAGCAGGCTTACCTGGATGCGACACTCCTGAATCATTGGATGCCACAACCAGACATCTGACAGGTTCAGAGGGACAGAGTGAGAGAAATAGGTACTAGCTGTACAAAGACATGGCGGTGTCTGTGCCTTTATCCATGGTCACATCATTTCCAATGGTGACTCAGAGGTAGCTCTGTAGAAAACAGGACTGAGGCATAGCTGCTCTAATGTTCCCATGACAAAGAAATGGGTTCTTACAGGCATCCCTTAATGAAAATGCAACAGGATCTGTGTATGCAGAAACAAGCACTGTTAATGTGAATATGTAAATGGCTGTCGCAGTTCAGACAATTCTCACAGACCCTGCTTGGTCCTACACTGCAGGAAAACAGAGACAGAAATAACTGTGGAACAAAATTGCAAATAAATCAGGTTCCAGCTGGAGACATGGTCCTTAATGTCTGATGATTCCATTCTGACAAGAAGTTCTTACAATAAAATGATTTTTAGTCTATTAAAAATTAATGATTACATTTGTTTACAGCACAACAACTTCCAGCAAAAATTATATGTAGATTTGGGATCCACTGTTTGATAATGGGAATCGCAGCTCTCTATTTAATTGTACATGTTGACTACTTACAGGACTGTGGTCCTGCTAGGAAAGAACCATCCATGTCTCTGCTCTGACCAGGACTCCCACATTGTCTAAAGGATAACTGCTTCTCTGTGCATCCTTTCTTCCCAGGGTTTCTTTATTCCTAAGTAGCCCAATAAACTGAGCAATACAGTAATGAGCAATATCGCAAACAAAAATCTGTTCTTCCCTGTGGTTTGGGATCTCCAAGAGGCTTCTCTCACATTTGCCAGCTAAGGTCAAAGTTTTCCCTCTGACTGAGCTTCCTCTTTCCTGAGCTGATTTACCTTAAAAGGAGAATACGTTATGTTGAGGCCTCCTTCCTTGCTGAGGATGATAATGTTATCTCCTTAGCCAGCTACCTATGCTCATGGAATTGACAGTTAATTATTTTATCCATTTCGTAACTGTTTTGAAATTGGCCCATGGACCAAATGTTGCATAAAGAGAGGGAAGAGCACCTTGTGTGCACACACTCACACCACTCCAAATGTGTCTTATTTCCTTGCAATACAAGAGTGAACTTTTATCTGTTGTTATAGATAAAAACCTCATGTTTTATTTTCACACTCTGGCCTTCTCTTATGTACTAAGTTTTTCTCTCCACATACACAGCCAGAACTAACAATTGTGCACACAAGTGACTGAATTTCCATTTAAAAAAAAAAAAAAAAAAGTTTTTTTAAATGGCATTTTTGTTTGTGAAAGGTTTATCCCCAACGGGCAGATGCAATAGGACTATTGTCTACAGAAATAGTACTGGAACTGGGCCTGTGTCACCAGAAGGCATGCAGCTCTTAGCAAACACATTCAGTCCAAGCTGAAAAATCACATTTTCTTTCATCAAGAAAAAAACTGTACTGTTATAAATAATGTCTAGATTTAAACCTGGCACTTGAAATAACAGTTAATAGTCCCATGCAACTTTTGGGTGATTTGTCTAAGTTTGACTGCAAGTCTCTAAATCATGCCCCTAATAATGAATCTTCATTATTGATATTTAATCCATTAAAATGCTATTTAAATAAAGCTACTACTGAAAATTCCAATATACAGAAATTCAAAGAGAGCAAACATCATTTTATTGCCAACCACAATCATCTTCCTGATATTACCAGGGTGATCAAAGCAGTAATCAAACTTTATACCACATATGCATATTATAAGCATTTGTCTACGAGCACCTTAGAGTTGTCTTAAGTGTATGTATGATTCAGATTCAGATCTTGCATATTTTCTATACTATATATTGGGCTGGAAAGTGCTTCTAAGAAACTATCTGAAAAATAAAAAAAATGCTTATACATTTGTTGGTTTACTCACTCTAAAGGACTTCTGAAAAGTATAATAAAAGCATGAATAGACCAAGACAACTTTTAAGAAGGTGGAATTCCTTTTCCTCTAGAAAAGATAAATGAGAGTAGATATATAAATATATAAATAATATATAAAATATATAAATATATTAAATATATAAATAATAAAATAGTATAAGAATTTGTTTTCATTTAGGTGGTTTACTTACTGTTTCTCTACTTCACTAAGACTTTTGGCTTTTTCTGAGAACAAATGCTACCTTGAATTACTGTCTTGGGTTCACATGGTGAGGTTTTGGTAGCAGGAGGCTGCAGGGGTGGCCTCTGTGAGCAGAGCCCAGCAGCTGCCTCATGTGAGATCACAGCCAGCTCCAGTCAGCTCCAAAAGGGACCTGCCGCTGGCCAGAGCTGAGCCAGGGAGCGACAGATTGGGATAACAGATTTAGAAAGGGAGAAAACTGATGTGCAACAGCAGTTGGGAGAGAGGAGTGAGAAAATGTGAGAGAACCAGCCCTGCAGACACCCAGGTCATTGCAGCAGGAGGGCAGGAGGTGCTCCAGGCCCCAGAGTTAAATTCCCGAGGCCTGTGGAGAGGCCCCTGCTGCAGCAGGCTGTCCCAGGGATCTCCCTGTACTTATCTCAACCTTTGAGCCCTTTCCATTGTATTTTCTCCCATTTTCTTTGAGGAGAGGGAGTGAGGGGGTGTTTGTGGTAGATTTAAGCAGCATAGTAGGGTAAAACCAACACAATGACATGAAAATCTTACATAGAAAACAAAACTGAAATATATTATTAACTAAGTTTACAGGAGAACCCAAGTTGAAAAAAAAAAAAAAAAGTTGATTTTGATTTATATTCAGGTAAATTTGAGTGTATGTGTAGACCACACAATGAGTGTGTTTGTTCCATGCATAGAGAAACTGGGACCACCAGGGAATTTTAATATTTCGCAAAATGCAGAAATATACTGTGTGTAAAGGTACTATACAACTGAGTTCACTGAAAAGCACATTACTTTAAGCCACAGAAATAGAACCACTCTTTGTAACTTTATCTCATTTGTAGGTTTGGTTTTTGGACCATGTTTCTGCTAAGCAACAAGACATCCTTACATGAGTTGTAAGGATAGAGTTATTAACTCATAAATAAAAAATACAGCACTCCTAATGCCCACAAATGGGATCACAGATCCCATCATTTCCACTTCATGATACTCTAGCCCATATAGAAACTTTTGTCATCAACTGCTGAAGACAAAATTAAAGCCGTGGGCACATTATGAGATCTTTCTAGGTTGAAGCATGTTTTTTGTACTTGGAAAGCAAGTACACCCAGTTCCAAGTGAAAGACTGATTGGTAGCTCCAAAGGCTGAGAAACAAGAGGGGTAATTCCCTCCTTCCCTATGAAACCCAAGTGCTCCTCAGTAAACACACAGTCACATACCCTATGAACAAGGCTCTCCAAAGGAGCCCACAAAGGAACTGCATAACCGTGAATCTGGGAAGAGAGCAAAGTAATATTAGCACTAAGCCATCCCTATGGTGGTCAAGGTGCTTCCCCCAATGTATACCCACAGCCCATATTGCTGCTCCCAGCAAAGCCAGGCTGCAAGCAGCAAGTATGTGTAGGCCTTTTCAGGTGCCTTTCCCCTTTCTAGCACCTCTGTGCAGTAGCAGACAGGAAATGTGTATTATCCAAACCCAAGAGTTTGTCATAAAATTATTTTCCCCTTTTCCCCACACAAAACTGCTAAAAGGGATACTTTCCCCACTGTTGACTTATGCTTTACATAGTTCAGTGAAAGCAGGTCAAAGAGATTAATTGAGGATGAGGTGTGTCAACAAAGAAAGAAGTCATATCTTAGATTTTCAAACAGGATTAACTTTGTTTTTTTGGTGGTGGTGGTTCTGTTTTGGTTTTGTTGTTACAAAAATGTATATATATGAAAAGTTGCTTTGTATATAGCAGTCTTTTAATTATATGAAATGCTTTTGTTGTCAAGACACCATACAGTTATGAAAGCTTTTGCTTTTATCTAGGATTTCAAGTCAAAGTCAAAAACAGTTATGTTCAGGTCATCTTTTTTTTCCTCAAAGAAGAGTGTTCTTACACCAATTTCATTTTTTTCAATCAATATCTAAGTAGTTATAATTGAGTCTGAATGACTTTTTTTGACAAAACAAAAATCCAACAATGCAGTTTTCTAATGTGCTTTTGTTAATCACATGATTGTTTTGACTGTCAAATAAGCTCTGACATAGCTGTGAGATGTTTTAGCAAAGCATTCTGAAACGGCACTAGATGACTCTCCTCAGCAACTGCACACATAGCAGATAAATTTGCCCTTGCTTACACAGTGTAAATATGTTTCAATTACACAATAATAAGTAAAACATGGAAGATTAGATTTTGATGAAAATCTACCTTAGATATAGGAGCTCTATGCATGTCTTTGTATCAACTGCAGCTTTTGTTTGTTTAATCATACTTTGCTGGCTATAGCACAAGATGCTGTTAATCTATTAGAAATAATAGCAGAATAAGCTTTTAACTTGTTAATTTTATTACACCAAAGATCAAATTTACTTTCAGTCTCCTGTGCCAGAAGATCCTGTCTGTTTATTCTAGCTGGAGAACATGACAGTCAGCGTTACTTAAAAGGGATCATTTTTCCCACCAGGAGATAAATGTTTTAAAACATTTAAGCACTCTAATTTTTCTTCTTCAGAACACATGGCTGTATGTTGGCACTGCTGGGAGTTATTATTGTATTTAATAGCATACCATTATCTAGCCTCCAGCTGTCTGGGAACACAAGTGAGGAAAGCACAGCTAGATATTTTTACCATGTATGATGCTTAGCCCACAACATATAAGGCTGATCAGAGGGCTGTGGACGGTATCCAGCAAAAACTTGGTTGAGGGGTTGTTCTTGTTTTGTTTTTAAAGGGCTATTCAAAACTTCAGCTGCCATCCAGGTCTTTGCACTGTTTTCTCTTTCTTCAGTTTGTAGTTAGCAAGGAAATAAAATGCAAATGAAGATTCCTCCCCAGTTTCACTGCTTGCCGTGGCTTGGTTTTATCAGCCCACACTAAACATGCACCAGGAAAAATGCTGTCAGTGTTTTAGGAACTTGGGCAATAGCAAATCACAAGAGTTTCCAGTTCAAGACTGGTGCAGTAAAACGAATGAGAAGATGGTGGTTTCAAAGAGAGTCAAGGAATGGATTCCTGACACCAGCAAACCTCTCCCAGACACTGCTACTGGAAAAACACTGCCAGACCTCATGGCTTGACCCGAATCTAGGAGCTAGCCAGCCCCAGCTGTGTTTCCTAGAAAGTTGCTGCATTTCTACATCATAAGTGCAGTTAACTCTCCTGCAATTCATTTGAAATAAGTCTTGTTCTCTAACATCAGTTTTTCTGCACCCATTGCAGAGCAGCTGAGAAACTCATCAATCTACGTGGTCAGCTATTATATTCTGTTAGTCTTCCCCATGTCACCCTAGCCAGAAACATCCCAGTCTAACTCTGCCTTGTAATTAAGTTTTCACTGGCACAAGGAAGCCTGTTCTTGCAGCTCCATTGACACTGGCAAAATGACACCTGAATGCAAATACTGTGAGATTAGAATGGTGTCTAATGTGTGTTTTCTCCTTCAAAAATTGTTTTGAAATCAGCTCATCCTCCCATTCGTTTCACTGGTCACTCATACAGAGCAGAAACAACCATGTAAGTAAGTTGCAGTAATTAAATTCAGAGTCCATGAGATGCAAAAATGTGGGGGGGGAGGAAGGACGGAAGGACAGGGGGAAGGAAGGACGGAGGGAAGGACGTAAGGAAGGAAGGAGAACTTCAGTGAAGCTATGTCTAAACTGTGCGATCCAAGAGTACTTCCCACTCTCAGATCCTAGTGTTCACCGTTGCTGAGTCCCGACTGGAAGAGGTCTGGGCATGTCATCCCATAAAGTCACAGAATGATGGAAGTCTCCTAGAAAGGTGAAGATCAAAATGAAATTGTTGATCTTGATGCAAGATTTTACTTACTGCTTCTCTTAAGGAGAGTATCTTGCTACATGATTTAAAAGATTCCTCCAGAACTTAAATTTAAGATATTTTTGCATCATTTCCATCACAGGTCACCAGCTGCTTCCCCAATTAATTTGTTTTTTCCTCAGCAGCAGGCAATGCTAGCTCCTCAGTGCAATCCATCTTTAAGAGCCAGATCCTACTGAGAGCAATAGATTACAAATCACCAAGCTGGGTGTTACTTTAAAAGTTTGGAGTTGTGATTTTTGTTTCTTCTGTTCTCTCTCAGCTTCAGTCCATTTGTTATATCAATTACCAATGCCAGAGCCTGATTCTGGTATAGAAGACAGGGGTTCACAGGGTTGTCTATATATCTGACTCAAGTCAGTTTTCTCTTTAAATGTTGAATAAACATAGCATCTCTCACACACACATCTATTTAGGAAAACTAACTAAATAAATAAATGAAACCTGTTTAGTGAGAAAACAAAGGGAATAACCTACCATATCATAAATTTTAATGAGGAAAATAGTCAAATCTTAGCAAAAGAAAGTGACTATATTCCCACTGCAGTTATCAGATTCAGGGCTGCACCATCTGGACCAGCATGACTCCTCATTACCTTGGGACCTCCCACACAGGCGCTGATAGCTTCTGCTTACATATTTATGCCTTCCACTGGGGGAGACAAATCCTTCAGGAGCTCTTATTACATGGAAATGCGAATGGGGCAAACAGCCCTGCCAGGCTGACCCTAAGGTAGTGGTGCCCCATCAGTGTGGGTCAGCTTTAAACAATATCTTCAGCCAGGACATATTTTGGTGGGCAGGATCTCTCAGCCTCAGGCTACCTTTCCTTAAACTCACAGTCGAACTGTCTTCATCAACTGATATGTTTTCTGTCAATTCTACCTGTTTTCAGGATGGCCTGCAAATCCCTGATTTATCAGGGTATGGAAGAGTGAGAAGGGACGTCCAGTATCTAGTGGCTAGAAAACAAACCAAGAGCATTCACCATCCTTGACGTCCCTCTACAAGAAGCTCTTGAAGGGAGAGCTTGCACTTTCCCAAGAGAGAGGCAGCACGCGTGACTTTTGTCTGCATGTTTGGAATATGTTTTGGAGCCAGCAGTGGAAAGGGTGGGATTTGTCAGCCCCAGTGTAGGCTGTTGACTTATGATTCATCTCAACCAAAGACGGTCATCTAAAGAATATGTGGGCCTGTGCTCTAGAAAACATGCATTTCCTGAAGTGACTCTAAAGGAGCGTGGATATCTAGTTTTTGCTGTGGACATCCAAAATGTAAACATCTGCTTTGGGGCAGACCGACCACATAACCAGTTTCTCATTCATAATCTCTGAACCTGCAATATGTCTTTATAGCTTGCACCATAATCCACAATCATTTCTTCAACCTTCAAAGGAGATCTGTCTATTTTAGGTGAAAATTGGACTCATAAAAGGCATTACCATCTCCAAAGACACCAAAAAGAGATAAGGCGTGAGAGAATCACTACTGATAATATTCATCATTGTGCATTTTACCTGCCATTTGAGATGCTCTTCTTCTTTTGATAACCTGTAAATAGTAAAGAAACAGACATCTGTGAAGAGTACTCTGAGAACATTGGTGTTACTCAGGGACTCCCCATCCAGTACCCAGCCACACAGTTTCCTGACTGGGAAGGAGCTGGCCCAGACATACCTAGTGTAATTACAGGCTCTGCTTTCAAATCCATTGCATTGCTTGCACAGTCACACAGGCTGCTTGCTACTTAGGGGCACCAACGAAAAAAATCCACGTCTCCCTTTCGAAAATGCATTGTCAACAGTGTTTGCAATGCTGCTGGCCTGTATCATCAGGACCAGCACACACCAAAAACAGCCCACAGTGTCATCGTTCATATCTTCTGTTTTCATCTCTGGGAACCAAATACACTCTAATTAGTAGATTTTAGGGTGTGAAAGCTGATTAAGTGTTTCTCCTCAACAAATTCTGTGATTATTTTTTTCAACTCTGTTGTGGTTTGGGGAGTGATTGAGCAAGTGTTTGGAGAGGGATGTTGAAAATCACTCAGCATTTGCCTGACTCATGGGAGATTCACCTTTGGCTCCAACGGCAGGAAAATGCTGATCATTCTGGAAAATTCCAAACCTAAAGGCTTTTTCAGATATGTTGTTTAAAATGATCCTGTGAACAGGAGCTTATGTTTCAGTGTATTGCTTTACTCTGATGATAAAATAAAGCAAGCTTTTGCAATTTAACATGATTGTTTTTCTGTATGAGAACCTTTTGCATTTCTAAAGAACCTTTCATCAAATAATCCCAACAGTATCAGTGTAATCTTACAAATATACTATGACTAATTATTATCTATGTTTTGACTGGGGATGAAAACTAATATCTATTTGAGTGAAATGGGTGTTCAATAATAAACCCCAAAACTCTTTATCGTCTGTCCCCTCTCCCCCTCCCTTCCAATCTGCTACTCTATACTTCTGGAAAGCAGTGTCACGAACTATTTAACAGTCTTGGAAGCTGATGGAAAAAAATTAAAATGTAGAGATTACAAAAATCAGGACTGTTTTTTCTGCACAGTTTCTCCATCAGAGAATAACCAGATTAACTATCATTTATGTGAGAACATTGCATATACATCCTTCTGTAACAACACACGGTCTGAATGTTAATATCACAGGCTCAAAGCAACATGTTTAACTCTCAAAGCTAGATAGTACTCATCCCAGCTTAAATGGTATTATCTGTCTCAACTATATATGTAGACATCGTTTTAGCAATCTGGCTGAGATTCTTCCATTAGCACCACCTGGTGGGAAATGCACACTCCAGATAACATGATGGAGTTGCAATTCCATCTCTGTGCATGTGGGTGCATGCACACACACATGCACTTGATATGCACAGCTAGATTTAGGGAAAAGTGAGCCCAGAGGGGAGAGAGAGGGAAAAAAAAAAAAAAAAAAAAGAGAGAGAGAGAAAGAAAAAAGACTGGCAGACTTCATTTTTCTGTTCCTGTGTTTGCAGTGCAACAGTCAAACTAGTGCCTGCCACAACATGTCTTTTCTTCTCTGTTGAAAAATAGAAAGTTTATGGAAAGAAAAAAAAAAAAAAAAAAAAAAAAGATGAACTTGTTCAATAGTTCCTCAGTAGCAGAGAGCAGTCAGTCAAAAAGGCTGTGTTTGCCTCTTGTATTTCTAAGCCATATCTGTCTGAGAAAACAAGCCCTTGCCAGCTGCATTCACCCAAATGTTTTCAAAATGTTTCCCTTTGAAGTGAGCTATTTTGAAAAATACATTGCTTTCAGTGAGAATACTCTTAAAAGGGAAACATCATAACTTTATTTCAGAAAAAAAAAATCTAATTTTAAGATTTTGTTTTTATATTATTTGTACAAAAATTCGTGACTTCTTAGACAAATCTTCCATTTATTATGGAAAAAAAATTTAAAAAAGCTCTAAAACACTGTAAATGTAATGTTTTGAAATGTTTGCATTTCAAAACAAATGTTCACTTATTTATACATCCTCATTTTCTGTAGCAGTTTGTTTTGCATGAAGTCTTAAAACAATGTTTTCATTCTCAGACTAAAATGCATTTCCAAATATTGATGTATCTAACAAGATAAAAATGCATAATGTCAACCAGATCTTATTACCAACCAGCTCCTCCAGGAAGAATAACACAGCGAGTCTTTAGCCCAACTGGCAAATAAAGGGCAACATCTGATCATACAAGTCCCAGCACAGCACATAATTAATACTGGCCTATGAATTCAGACTCTGAAGTGGGAGAAACATTTTAAACTTTTATGTTACACATGAGACTTCAACAGAGATAAAAAAATTACGCTTTCATATATAGGAGAGAGAAATTAATTGCGTGTGTAGTCCTTACCGATGATCTAGTCCACAAACTGGCCTTGAGAGACTGTGATAATAGGCACTACAGTAAGTTTTATTTTATTTATCCATAATGCTATTATTGCTCTAATCAGAACAACGGTTTTAGACCAGTGTCTTTTGAAATAAATCCTCTTCACTGAATAAAATCTAGGAAAAAATAAATAGGTAAAATATAAACAAGATCTTAGTCCCCAAATGACAATAACTTTTTATTATCACTTTGTTTTTCCTACAACTATTGCCATCATTTGTTTATTCTCTTACTACAATGGTGTTCGTTCTAAGCATGACAGTTTTGTGTTGTTTTGAAGTGTATTAATGGCACTGGAAAATTGTGAACTCACATGGTAAAATACACTGGAACTGATTTCCCATGGAGAATGGTTCATTCAAAAGCCTAAATATGAAGGGGTTATGGGTCAGGGGGGAGAAGAACATTTCATTACCAACTCACATGACTGCACTTCTGATAGGATTATCCTATGACTTCCAGTGTTGCTTTTCCAAAGACAAAGTTGGAAATAATTGGCTTAAACTTTTCAGTCTTTTATTACTCTGATGTTTATTTAGAACTGACGGAGAATCTCAGACAGACTATCAATTTTTTACATTATTTCCTTCAAATTACTGCTATTTTCTGCACTATGTTGAATTTCCTGGTGACAGCGTAGGAAGTAAAAATACATGGCACAGAGAAATAAATGACTGAATATACTCTGTTTTCCAAGGAAATAAGCATCTGAAGTTATTAGGTAGGTGCAAACAATTGTGTCAAAGCACCTGAAGTTGTCCTCCTCGCTGGCAATAAAGGGAGCCTTGAGAATCATCCTCCCTTAGACCCACATGTTTTAGATGGCCAGACTGCATCAGCCAAGCCATGCAGCCACCGGTGGCTGCAACTCCCATCCTTGAAGCAAGTAAAGCAAAAAGCTCAGAGGCAAAACTGAAGCATCCCTTTTCCAACTCTGCCAGTAACCTGCTAAAATAATCCCATAATTATTACTCACTGGGGCTTTGGATAACCACTGCAAAGCCAATAAGGAACGTACCACAGGATTATAATGATGGTTTTTTTGGTAGTTATTTGACCCATGGATGAAGGATGAAGTCCGTGAGAGCAAAACTGCATGGAGAAATATGCTTAGAGAGGCATATCTTTTGCCTATTTTAAGCCTCTATTCTCAGTTCTTGGACACTTACAATAATCCCTTACCTAAATTTCTAATTAAATATATATATACATAAATAAATATATAAATACACACACTATACAGGACAGCATTTGGGAGAATGGTGCGCATTGTGTTTGGTATATGTGAGTCACCAGGATGCAGACAGCACAGCCTTAGGGATATTTTTATTCTTGTTTCAATCAGCCCAGAGGTAGAGCTAAGAAAGAGTTTTGCTGTTCCTAGTTATATACGTTAACATATACCACATACACCAGACTGCAGCATGTGGTGGCGGAAGAGCCACTCTGAGCAAGGGGAAAAAAGAATAAGGATAAAAGTATTATCAAGGCTTTTAAAATAAAACTTCTAAAGCACCTTTAAATTGTAACATCTTGAGCAAAGAAAAGCCTGAATTATGTAAAAGCAGGCAGGGAGCCAACATCTGGCAGTAATAAGATTGTTTTGTAAGCAAGCAGTTTTCTACACAGCACGCAGCTCTTGGTCCACATTAGAGCAAATAATGAATCTGTGAAGATGTGCATGGTCTCTGGCTGCCAGAAGGATACCCTAGGCTTTGAGTGAATTTTTTTGTGTCATTTGATCTCCTAAAACAGCCAGCTGAGAAGAGTTATATTCCCCTTGCCAGGAACCTCGAAAGAATTGTTCAAACCATACACTCATTCCTGCTGAATTGGAAACAAATGCCATAGCTTCATTGTTGGACTTTGAAATCGAACTCTCTCCAGCTCTTCCCAACGTTCCTGGGAGGAAACAAAACTCCTTCCTGTGTCTGCCACTTTTGTCTCTGTGGAGGGACCTCCTTCCCTCTGCTACCCTTACTCCTTCTCATCCTTTCTCTCCTCCTCCCGCGATCGCAATCTCTCATTCCAGAAAGCCACATCACAGGCATGTCCCATGTGTTAACTATCTTCTGTTTGCTGCCATTAGACTCTGCCATCGCCTGTAGAAATGGAGTTGCTTAATTAGGTCCAGAGAGCTGGAGAACAAGGCCAGTCAGGGTGGCACCCGGCCAGCTGCTTCTTCCCCTAGCATTTTGTTTTGTTTTGCTTTTCCTCTTTTCTTTTCTTAGAAGGGAAAAATCTCAAGCCATTCCATGCTCCTTCCCACCTGTAAAATCCACCACACAGTTGAGTAGGTTAGGGTCTTAAACCAGCCCTTGCACAAAGAGACTTTCTTGCAAAGCTTGCCTGACTGCTACTCCAACCCCTGTCTCCCCATCTCTCCCCTCAAAAAAATAATTAAAAAAAAAAAAAAAAAAAAGGAAAACCCTATGTTTGTCAGGTCTCAGGACACCAAGGCTCCAAAAGCCTGGAGTGCACTCAAAGAAGAGTAAGCAGCCACTGATAGTTGCTCTCCAAACCATGGAGGGCATTGACAATCACAGCCACTCATCAGCATGAGGCAGCATGTTAGGAAAAAAAGGCTTGGAGGCTGTCCTCCCAGTGCTCAGAGCTGTGTCTGGGTATGATTTAGATTTTATTCCAGCCTTCATAAGAAACAGTCACTTCCTGTTAAGTCAAGAACAGTTGAACTTCATCTCAGATATTTAACTCTCGGAGTATCTTTGCTGACAGTGAAGCATGCATGCGTGCTTCTTTTCAAACTGTCTGGCTGCCCTCCTCCTTCCTCCCCACCTCCCACATTGGGCATCAGAGAACATCCAGAGATTTATTACTTCAAAGCTATTTCACTGCAAATTGTACACTCACCTGCTGAATAATTAATTCATTTTATTAAAATTGTTTCCTCGATCTTCTTATTTGATTTCTAGTTTTTATTTCATAGAGTGATTATGCCAGAGATCCAAA